TAAAGGTTTTTTTGAAAGTGATGAAAACTAAGAAACTCCAACCTTAATAAAACAGATTTCATGTCATTGGTATTGTCGTGCTTTTTGGTTTCCGTTGTTAAGGGGGCGTGTCTGTACTTGAAGAAACACGACAAAAAACGAAACACGACAAAAAACGAAACACGACAAAAAACGAAACGTCTCTTGCAGGAACTTTACTCCTTCAGCACAGGGAGGAATTACGGCAAAAACTGAGCTGTTGCCACAATGAACTGTGGGCTTCTGGCCTCTAGCTCTGGCACGGACAGCGTTGTTGGATATGGTGAGCGCAGCATATCCAACAACAGTCCAAACATAACGGATCAGCTGTTAGAACTGGTTGCTAAGGCAACCCCAGCTGTCAACAACAATAAACAAACTTAAAACAACAAATCTCGCGATGCGACCTTCCTTACAGTATTTGAATCCCATTATTCATGGATATTAATGCAAATATTGCAAAAAAGGGAAACAGTTATGGATCTGCTGTAGATGCTCCATCGAGCCGGTTCTTCTGTACATGAACCGGTTCTGTTTGGTACCGACTGAACTCCAGATGAAAAGAAGAATCCATTGAAATTTAGTAAATATAAACGGATCATTTTAAATCCTAATCGGGTTTAAAATTCGAAGTTTTTCCCAATAATCCCGTTTCCCTCAGAACCGTTCTGCGCCTGCGCGGGTTCTCCATAATAAAAGCGATCACCGGAAGAGCGTTAGTGTTTTTCAAGTTAAAAGCTGCACCGAAGCCGGTCCCCGCATCACTGTGGTGTTCAGAGGTCCGGTTCCGGTCCAGGTGTGTTGGAGCAGAAACCCATCGAGAAGCTGCAGGTGTGTTAGCAGAATCAGTTTTCGGCACAGCGTTCAGCGTGACATCAAGAAACTCGCACCGTTTTGGCTTCGTGTTCTCCCTTTGGAGGACACACCCTTTTATTGTACACGAGTGTGTTCAGTTAGACAGGTCACGTGATGTGACACATTATCATCCAATAATGAGAAAAAAAACAACAACAACAAATGAGAGCACAAAAACATTCATAATGTCAACAAGGTGGTTCCGAGAATCGGACCGGGTCGGCTCTGTTCTGCTTCATTTTAGCTCTTGTTTTGAAAGTGAGAGCGTGGCCTTGCCCCTGACTTCCGGCGCGTTGCGCTTGTTGACGCAGCGCGAGTTTTCGCTGCAGAAAGCGAGGATCAAAGCGAGGATGAAAGGCGCCGCCGAGCTGCAGGTGAGCTGCTGTTGGTTTTTGGCCTCATCAATTATCGATCAGCTCATCTTTCCGCCCACTCCTGCTGCTGATCTGTCGATTATTAATATCTTCAAACTGATAACGACTCGATTTATCAAATAGAACGTAAACAACAATGACGTCATGATCGGCAGAGGGCGTGGCCCCGCTGATCGGAGGATGATGATGATGATAACGATGATCGATCAGCAGTCAGGGGAAGCTCTGAGTTCCTCATGTTTTCATCCGCAGGTTCTGGTTCTGGTCGGGTCCAGTTCAAACCAAATGAACGGTTCTGAGTCACCGGATCCCAGATTTAGTCCCGGTCCGGATCCGTCTGTGTGATTCTTTAGAAAAGGTTCTGAACTGTTCAGTTTCGGGTCTTTAGCAGCAGGACGCTTCACTTGTCACCATGGTAACTGACCTCCACCTGTTGCCATGGTAACCGACCCGGTCCCGGGTGATGACGTCATTAGTTTGGGAATGACTGTATCGATCATGTGATCAGCAGTGGACCAGACGCAGTTCTGCTGTAGATGGATCCGGTTCTGTTGGACTGAACGGATCTTCCAGAACCTTCTGGACCTGCCCTGGTTCTGACGTTAACGTGACTTTGTTCCCGCTGCCGCAGACCATGGCTGCCTTCCTCTTCCTGCACCTGGCCCTCCTCTTCCTCCTGGCGGGCCCCGCGGCCCCGCAGACCCCCGGTCCCGCCCAGCTGGACCTCCTGGACCGGAGCGCAGACTTCGGGGCGCGGCTGTACCGGGCGGTGGCGGGCCGAACCGACGACAACGTCTTGCTGGCTCCGCTCGCCGTCTTTGCGGGAATGCTGGCTGTGCTGGGCGGAACCAGCGGGCCGACCCAGAACCAGCTGCTGCAGGGACTCACCCTGACCGGACTGGACCCCCAGACTCTGCCAGGTGGGCCGCGACCCCAGCATGACCCGGAAGAGGCCGGAAGTCTGCAAACCTAAAAGTGAACAGCAATAATTATTGCAGAAAACGGAAGCTAATCATTCATTCATTTACTTGTCACAGTTCCAAAGCAACAAATATTTTCCAACCTAAATATTTAGTTAGTAAGTAAGTTAAATATTTAGAGTCTAACTAAACATTTAGTTTTCATCAGCAGGTTCTGGTTCTGGTCGGGTCCACATCAGAGCCACAGAAACAAAAAGGTTTGAATTATTTTTTCTGTGGACCTAATGTTCCATAAAATTTCAGAATTTCCTAAATGGATATATTTAATTTACAATTCATATTTTGGATTTGCTAACTAAATATTTTGTTTACTTTGCAAATTAAGTATTTAGTTTGGAAATTAATATTTAATTTCTAAATTTAATTTCTAAATAGGCTAAATCAACAAGGTTTAGTTAAATATTTAGTGTCCAAGTTAAATCTTTAAACTGGAAATTATATGTTTAGTTTGGAATATAAAGATTGTATTTGGATTTAATAGCTAAATATTTAAATCCAAATTAAACTTGGATGTCCATATTTTGCTGACAACCTAAATATTTAGTTAGCAGACCTCTGCTAACTAAATATTTACCAGCAAGCTAAAGATTTGGCTTGGAAAATAACTTTGCGCTTTGGAAATACTTAATTTGGAGCCAAATAGCTAAACAAATAGCCGGTAAATTAATTATGAAATACTTAGCTTGCTAACTAGATCTAAGCTAAATATTTAGCTTGTGAATGAAATATTTAGTTTAAAACAATAGAATAGAAACAACTTTATTAATGCCACCAGGAAATTGAGGTTGTCTGTTGCTCACACAAAACTGTGACATTCATAAATAAATGGATGACTTGGTGAAAATATGAAAATAAACCTGCATGATTTGTTGTGTCTGAATGATCCAGATTGCTGCAGTCAAGGTCTGTAGTTGAACTTCCTCTGCCTACAGATCAGTTCCAGGCCCTGAGGGACGCCGTCCTGCAGCCGGCCCTCCGCCTGCAGCAGGGCGCCGCGCTCTTCCTGGACCGGAGCTTCCAGACGTCGCCGTCCTTCCAGGATCTGGTTCAGACCAAATATGGCGGACAGATGCAGAGCGTGTCCTTCTCCAGCCCGGCGGAAGCCCAGGACGTCATCAACCGCTGGGTCCAGGACCTGACCCGACACCAGGACCAGAACCTGCTGAGCTCCCTGGACCGCCGGACCCAGCTGCTGCTCGTGTCCGCCGCCGCCTACCAGAGTGAGTCCCTCCCACAGCTGTGCTTTGACTAGGCTGCTGTGTTCTGCTGTGTGCTTTGACTAGGCCGCTGTGTTCTGCTGTGTTGCAGTGCGCTTCAGTCCTCTCTTCAACACCTCACTGACTCAGGTCGAGCGTTTCTACGTCGACCGTTATCATGTCGCCATGGTTCCCATGATGTTTCGGGCCGACAAGTACTTCCTGGCGTACGACCGCGGCGTGAAGGCCGGCGTGCTCAAGCTGCCGATGGCAGATGGCGCCGCCATGTTGGCGGTGCTGCCAGACGAAGATGTGGACCTGACCACCGTGGAGGAGGAAATGACCTCAGAGAAGATCCGGGCCTGGATCCGCCAGCTGAAGAAGACGTGAGGCCCTTCATCTCCTTCATTCCTCGACTCTCAGTGTACGATTCTGACCCGTCTGTTCTGTCAACAGGAAGCTGGAGGTGCAACTTCCTGTCTTCCAGCTGAAGCGCTCCTATGCCCTGAAAGACGTTTTGCAGGCGCTCTACGTTACGCAGGTGTTCCAAGATGGCGATGACTTCAGCAGCATGGGCGGGGCTTCAGGAGCCAGCCTCTCTCAGGTTAGTGGCCCAGTCAAATCCTTGAAAGTTAAAAAAATAAGTCTGAGGCCCTGAAATGTTTTTGGGTTTGAATATTCACTTGGATGAGGACGGGCAGTGTGTTGGTATCTTCTCCTGTGTTCCTAGTCCACAGCAACACCGCATCTGCTGGGTGAACTGGTTAACTGCCCTCCATGTTGACTCATAAACCAACAGAGCTATGCTAATGCTAATGCTAAGCTAACAAACCCAGGGAATATTGACTGAGAATAGTTCCAATGAATCTGAAAGGCTGAAGTTTTCAGTCTCGATGTACCTGTTCGATCTGACGTCACAGCATCCTGGGTAGCCGCTCTGTTTCCTCCTCAGGTGTATCACGCCTCCGTCGTCACCATGGATGAGAGTGGAGACGATGGCGGCTCAGGGGGCGGGGCCACTGCCTTCTCCTCGCCGCCGCCACGCCTCACCTTCAACCGACCCTTCATCTTCATCATCTACCAGCAGGCCAGCGGCAGCCTGCTCCTCATGGGTCGAGTCACCAACCCCACAGAGAACTGAGCCGAGAACCGCCCCCTTTGAAGCTCCGCCCACCTGTAGAGGCAGGTTGTAGCCTCACTTCCTGTCTATCTGTAGTGTTAGACATGAGGGGGAGTCCCCTGAAAGGGCCGCAGGGAACGCCCGATGGGTCAAGAGTTAAACAGATCCAGAACATTAAACCCCGTTCCATTCCTACTAATCATCATCCTGTTTATTGTCAAGCACTTCCTGTTAGCACTGAGCTAATGCTGCATCCTATTTATTTTGTTGTTTCTTGCATGCTAGCAGCTTTTAGCACTGAGCTAATGCTGAATGTTTGGTTCTGATCATAAACGGTTTTAATAAAACTCATCACATACCCGAGTCTCCTGATGATTTTCCTTCCAAGACAAACCGAGATAAAAACTGGATTCGCTCTGAAGTTTCTAACGTAGCCGGCTGATTGGAAACACACAAAACTACTGCAGCAGATTAATGTTTACTGTAGATTTTATTCAACCAATAAGTCAGTTTCTCTGAGGAAACGCGACAGAAAGAACAAAAAATCAATTAGAAAATATTTTTTTCTTTTATTTAAAGATTTGTTAAAATATGCTATCTTTGTATTAGATAACCCAGAACTGTGAAACTGATGAAAAATTAGTTCAACATTTTGCACCCTGATAATCTGAAAAGTATGGTTTCCATTTCATTTTTGGCCTTCTACTATGAAAACCTGGAAAAATAAAAAATATCCACTTTCACCAATTGTAATCCAGCTGTAGCTTAATCTGAGTCTGACTGGCCTAGTCAAAGGAAATCTGTCACAGCTGTTTCTGTCTGTAGATGGTGCACTCCACACTTTGCAGGGTTTCCTGTCAAAAATGTTTAAAGCCACCAATTTCCTTCACAGTTTTGCACTTCCTGTTGTTCTGCCACAGAAAGTCTGAATGAAATAAACTGAAGTTTGTTGATGGATTGGAGCAAAAGGTGAGGAAAGGTGAGATCGTTGGAGGAACCAGCTGTTTGGACTCTGATGACCTTCTCTTTCTGAGGCTCTTTTCTCTGAACCTCCATCTAGTGGCACAAAAACTCCATGAAAGCCGTTTTCATTCAGTTATTTATTTTAAAATAATTTCTGATTTCCACCAGTCCAAGATGAACTCCTGTTTGGTTGCCCGCGGTGATCACTGTCCGATGAGATCACACCTACAACCTGCAGGTGAACCAATCAAATGAAGCCATGAGATGGTTGAATACACAGTGCTCAGTAGGATCGCTCAGCATCCACCGGTTCTGGGCGTCGCCATGAAACCGCTTCCAGGCACCTGATTGGCCGATGGAATCAAGTGTAAGTGATGACATCATCAGCTTCACTCTCATTCTGACTGGAGAGAGTTGGACTTCCTGTTCCTGCCGAAAGAAAACCAGAAAAACAGTTCAGGAAGTAGACCGCACCGAAACTCAACCAGAACAATGGGAACTAACCGGGTCAGGAAGTAGACCGCACCGAAACTCAACCAGAACAATGGGAACTAACCGGGTCAGGAAGTAGACCGCACCGAAACTCAACCAGAACAATGGGAACTAACCGGGTCAGGAAGTTGATGGCACCGAAACTCAACCAGAACAATGGGAACTAACCGGGTCAGGAAGTAGACCGCACCAAACCTATCAGAACAATGGGAACTAATCCAGTTAGGAAGTAGATGGCACCGAAACTCAACCAGAACAATGGGAACCAACCCAGTCAGGAAGTAGACCGCACCGAAACTCAACCAGAACAATGGGAACTAACCGGGTCAGGAAGTAGACCGCACCGAAACTAAACCAGAACAATGGGAACCAATCGGGTCAGGAAGTAGACCGCACCGAAACTCAACCAGAACAATGGGAACTAACCGGGTCAGGAAGTAGACCGCACCGAAACTCAACCAGAACAATGGGAACTAACCGGGTCAGGAAGTAGACCGCACCGAAACTCAACCAGAACAATGAGAACAGATCCGGTCAGGAAGTAGACCGCACCGAAACTCAACCAAAACAATGAGAACAGATCCGGTCAGGAAGTAGACCGCACCGAAACTCAACCAGAACAATGAGAACAGATCCGGTCAGGAAGTAGACCGCACCGAAACTCAACCAAAACAATGAGAACAGATCCGGTCAGGAAGTAGACCGCACCGAAACTCAACCAGAACAATGGGAACTAACCGGGTCAGGAAGTAGACCGCACCGAAACTCAACCAGAACAATGGGAACTAACCGGTCAGGAAGTAGATGGCACCGAAACTCAACCAGAACAATGGGAATTAACCGGTCAGGAAGTAGACCGCACCGAAACTAAACCAGAACAATGGGACCCAATCGGGTCAGGAAGTAGACCGCACCGAAACTCAACCAGAACAATGGGAACCAACCGGGTCAGGAAGTAGACCGCACCGAAACTCAACCAGAACAATGAGAACAGATCCGGTCAGGAAGTAGACCGCACCGAAACTCAACCAGAACAATGGGAACTAACCGGGTCAGGAAGTAGATGGCACCGAAACTCAACCAGAACAATGGGAATTAACCGGGTCAGGAAGTAGACCGCACCGAAACTAAACCAGAACAATGGGACCCAATCGGGTCAGGAAGTAGACCGCACCGAAACTCAACCAGAACAATGGGAACCAACCGGGTCAGGAAGTAGACCGCACCGAAACTCAACCAAAACAATGAGAACAGATCCGGTCAGGAAGTAGACCGCACCGAAACTCAACCAGAACAATGGGAACTAAGCGGGTCAGGAAGTAGACCGCACCGAAACTCAACCAGAACAATGGGAACCAACCGGGTCAGGAAGTAGACCGCACCGAAACTCAACCAAAACAATGAGAACAGATCCGTCAGGAAGTAGACCGCACCGAAACTCAACCAGAACAATGGGAACTAAGCGGGTCAGGAAGTAGACCGCACCGAAACTCAACCAGAACAATGGGAACTAACTGGGTCAGGAAGTAGACCGCACCGAAACTCAACCAGAACAATGATAACTAACCGGGTCAGGAAGTAGACCGCACCAAACCTATCAGAACAATGGGAACTAATCCAGTTAGGAAGTAGATGGCACCGAAACTCAACCAGAACAATGGGAACCAACCCAGTCAGGAAGTAGACCGCACCGAAACTCAACCAGAACAATGGGAACTAACCGGGTCAGGAAGTAGACCGCACCGAAACTCAACCAGAACAGAACAGATCCAGTCAGGAAGTAGACCGCACCGAAACTCAACCAGAACAATGGGAACTAACCGGGTCAGGAAGTAGACCGCACCGAAACTCAACCAGAACAATGGGAACTAACTGGTCAGGAAGTAGACCGCACCGAAACTCAACCAGAACAATGGGAACTAACCGGGTCAGGAAGTAGACCGCACCAAACCTATCAGAACAATGGGAACTAATCCAGTTAGGAAGTAGATGGCACCGAAACTCAACCAGAACAATGGGAACAAACCCAGTCAGGAAGTAGACCGCACCGAAACTCAACCAAAACAATGAGAACAGATCCGGTCAGGAAGTAGACCGCACCGAAACTCAACCAGAACAATGGGAACAGATCCGGTCAGGAAGTAGACCGCACCGAAACTCAACCAGAACAATGGGAACTAACCGGGTCAGGAAGTAGACCGCACCGAAACTCAACCAAAACAATGAAAACAGATCCGGTCAGGAAGTAGACCGCAGCCGAACTCAACCAGAACAATGGGAACCAATCGGGTCAGGAAGTAGACCGCACCGAAACTCAACCACAACAATGGGAGCTAATCCAGTCAGGAAGTAGACCACACCCAAACTCAACCACAACAATGGGAACTAACCAGGTCAGTAAGTAGACCACACCCAAACTCAACCAGAACAATGGGAGCTAATCCAGTCAGGAAGTAGACCGCACCGAAACTCAACCTTCACCTGATACCCGATGAAGCAGACCTCCTGTCCTAATTTCACTGGTCTTAAGGTGTTTTGTGGAACCAGTTTGTCCACTAGACTCACATGGACAGCTTCCTGGACTGACTATCTTTCATGCTGCTCCCACGCTCCATCGTCTTGCTGCGCTGAGCCAAGTTGCTGGTTCTGTGGTCCCGATGGTCCAGGGTGCTGGTTCTGTGCTCTCTCTCCTCTAGGGAACTGGTTCTGTGCTCCATCATGTGGTTCCGCTGGTCTCGGTTCCCAGTCCTTTGGTCCAGGGTGCTGGTTCTGTGCTCCCTTTGCTCCAGCAGGCTGGCCTGGTCCAGGAGGCTGGTCGTTTTGCTTCGGATCAGAACCGGCACGGAAGAGGTGGACTGGGTTGTCAAGGTGAAGTGGGCGGTCTTCACTGAGTCGTCTGTGGGAACAGGAAGTGATGTAAGAGCAGAAACAATTACATAAGGAATGATTCTAAAGTGAGCGATTACCTCTGGTGGATTTTCTAAGACCCGAAGAACCGCTGAGATCTTTGACCTTCCTAAATCACACAGAAAATCCAGAACATGTTAGTCAGGATGTTTAGATAAGCTCTACAGAACCTGGACCGGTCTGGATTGGACTGGACTGGACTGAACCGGTCCAGTCTGGACTAGATTGGACTGGTCTGGAATGGATTGGTCTGGACTGGATTGGACTGGTCTGTACTGGACTGGATTGGACTGGTCTTTACTGGACTGGAATGGACTTGACTGGACTGGACTGGAATGGATTGGACTGGTCTTTACTGGACTGGAATGGACTTCACTGGACTGGATTGGACTGGTCTTTACTGGACCGGTGTGGACTGGACTGGAATGGACTGGTTGGAGTTCTTCATCTCTGAAAGAAAAACTGTATTTCTATCAGAAAACGTCTCTGTCGTCTTTCAAACGGCTCATCTTTTGTTTTAGGCTGAAATGTTGGATAAGAAAAGAGAAAAAGAAATGATAAAGTCACATTTCCTGTCATGAAATGACATGAAGCAGGAGATTATGAAGATCCAGCTTTTATTTTGGTAGTCCACATCTGGTTATTTCCAAGTCAATTAGCATTTTAGGTCAAATGCTAATGCTCAATATTTGGTGTGCTACCTCAACTATCCAAATAAATAACTACTTATCTGGAGTCATGATAACAGGATTGCTGCAGTGAGGAGTTGCCGAATACCCAACTAATCCAGAAGATGTTGGCAGCTGTTTCGGTCTGATCGGTGTAACGGACTGGGTGACCGCCAAACACCCAGACTGACATGCTGTTTGGCTGCAGGTCGCAGAGGTCACCAGCAGGATGGACTGGATCGTGGAGAAGTTGCTCTTTCGGCCCGGTGGGAGCACAGGGCAGAGGGAAATGAAAGGTCTGTCCAAATTTGCACCACCACTGGCCAATTGTGGGTAAAAGTATTCAGTGGTGTGTAAATTGGAGCAACGCAACTGTGGCAGGTTGACAATTTGAACAGGAAAAAAAAAGCTGCTTCCAGTTTGACCGTCTGTCCAGAGCAGGAGAGGCCGGACTGCAGACTGATGCACATACTGTACACAGGACGGTCCTAGGCTGTCATAATTTACAAAAAAATATATCAATATAATTTTTATCGACCAGGGCAGCCCATTGGTTGATATTATTGACGGACATTGGGTCTATCCAATGAAATCCCTCAGTCCTCTTGGCCCTGCCCCTCCTCTCAGAGGTTATAAATGGCGTCATTTCAGCTATATCTGCTAACGGTTAGCTGCTAACAGTTAGCTGCTAACGGTTAGCTGCTAACGGTGAGCTGCTAACGGTTAGCTGCTAACGGTGAGCTGCTAACGGTGAGCTGCTAACGGTTAGCTGCTAACCGTTAGCTGCTAACAGCTAGCTGCTAACGGTTAGCTGCTAACCAGAGTCCAAGAAAAGTGAGGGGATGCAAGACGGATGAGAAAAGTTACACAGCTGCAGCTAAAAAGCGCCCATGCAGAAAACGTGTCAATTAGCACACAGTGACGTCACAGAGGGTATTACTGGCGGGAAGGTGAGGCGATGAGCTGCAGGTACAGAACAAACGGGAGACTTGACAGTATGAGGATGACAGGAATGATGACCTGCCATTGATAATCAACACGTTTTAGAGGAATTTCAATAGAAAACATAGTAAGTAAGGAACAATAAATAGAACAGAAAACAGTATTTCATACCATTTATGTTTCATAATGACTAGGCATCTTCAGTAAATACTTTCTCAGGGTGTTGTATCCAAAATGAGGAAATGTTCAATATAGGAAATGATTGCTTGAATGTTTGGGTGTGTAGTTAAAGTAATTACTTCAAGTGAACTTACTGCACTTTACCTCTTAAGGTATTTATGCTTTATTATGTTAAATTAATTTCTATTGTACATATTATGGTAAACTTATCATCACTAAATTGGTTTTCATAGAGTTAAGAATAAATGATGTATTTTATGTCATTTGTTTGTACTGTAATTGTATCCAGTAAAACATTTTCTCCACGATGGAGAAAAGGTTTCAGTTCCAGCTCTGGTCCAAACTAAAAGAATATCGTCTCAATGTGAAGCGGCTCCTTGGCTGGCCGGGATGATGACCCAACGACTGGGTCTGGACACGGCGCCGGGTCAGAGCCTGGTTGTTACGGGGCCTGACCGACTGACACTCCCTGAGTTCACCGCCTTCGCTGGCCTTCGCTGACCTTCGCTGACCTTCGCTGGCCTTCGCTGACCTTCGCTGACCTTCGCTTGGCCTTCGCTGACCTTCGCTGACCTTCGCTGACTTTCGCTGGCCTTCGCTGACCTTCGCTGACCTTCGCTGGCCTTCGCTGACCTTCGCTGACCTTCGCTGGCCTTCGCTGGCCTTCGCTGACTTTCGCTGACCTTCGCTGACCTTCGCTGGCCTTCGCTGACCTTCGCTGACCTTCGCTGGCCTTCGCTGACCTTCGCTGGCCTTCGCTGACCTTCGCTGACCTTCGCTGACCTTCGCTGGCCTTCGCTGACCTTCGCTGGCCTTCGCTGGCCTTCGCTGACCTTCGCTGACCTTCGCTGGCCTTCGCTGGCCTTCGCTGACCTTCGCTGGCCTTCGCTGGCCTTCGCTGGCCTTCGCTGACCTTCGCTGGCCTTCGCTGACCTTCGCTGACCTTCGCTGGCCTTCGCTGGCCTTCGCTGACCTTCGCTGACCTCCTGCTGCGGTTGTTCCCTCCCTCAGGCTGTCGGTTCTCTTTACTTTCAGAGAAACTCCTGCTAGTTTTATGAATTATGGAGGGTTTAGCAACTCAGATCAACTGGAACATTTTAAAGTATAGATTTTTTCTTTTGCTCTTTTCTTTGGTTTTGTTGTTTTGTTTTTTCTTCTAATTCATGTAAAGAACTTTGAACTGACTTGTTGCTGAAAGTGAAACTGGCTCTTGGAAATAAGTGCATGTGGTGAAAATGTGATTTTGAAAAGCGATCCCCATTTATTGCTGTTCACTGGTTCCCAGTTTGGTGAACGGTCCTTACTGCGGTCTGTCCAAGTTGGCGGGTTTGGACGCAGTCGGCTGACTGCTGAGGGACCGACTCCGAGACAGTTTAGCCTTCCTCGTCTCTTTAGCTGGACACAGAGGACACGCGTCATCATCATCATCATCATCATCTTGTCCTTCATCAATGTCATGACCTTACCAGAGGACGAACTTCCTGTTGAAGAGGACACAGACATGGACTTTGCGGAGGACAGACTGGTCTTGCAGTCTCTTCCTGTCAGAGAAACGTCTTTAACAGCCGAGTGGGAAACGGCTGCAGACTGTGGGAACAAATGAAGGTTCAGCTCACGTTTTCTCTCCATGTGTTTGTCAGAGTTCAGCTTCCCGTCGCTCTGCTGCCGCTCCAGCTGCTCCTGGCAACACAGCGCATGTCCATGAAACCCGCCAAGCACAAACCCGGCATCGCCGCCACACTCACCATCTCCAGCAGCAGCATCTCCTCCTTCTCCTTCTTCTGGTCCAGCAGGTCCCACTCGTGTCTCTTATGAAACTGTGGACAAACACAACACATCCAGGTGAGGAGCAGAGGTGGAGCAGACGCCGCCGTCGCTCAGGGTCTGTCATCTGGTCCCTTACAGGCTCATACAGGTCCAGTTTGTCCAGTTCCAGGACTGTCTGGAAAGTATGAGGGACAATGGTTAAACTCCAAGCATCAAACACTCAAATAGCAGACTGGTTCCCAGTGCAGACTGGTTCCCAGTGCATACTGGTTCCCAGTGCATATTGGTTCCCAGTGTAGACTGGTTCCCAGTGTAGACTGGTTCCCAGTGCAGACTGGTTCCCAGTGCATACTGGTTCCCAGTGCAGACTGGTTCCCAGTGCAGACTGGTTCCCAGTGCATATTGGTTCCCAGTGTAGACTGGTTCCCAGTGTAGACTGGTTCCCAGTGCAGACTGGTTCCCAGTGCATACTGGTTCCCAGTGCAGACTGGTTCCCAGTGCAGAGTGGTTCCCAGTGTAGACTGGTTCCCAGTGCATATTGGTTCCCAGTGCAGACTAGTTCCCAGTGCAGACTAGTTCCCAGTGCATACTGGTTCCCAGTGCATATTGGTTTCCAGTGCAGACTGGTTCCATTCCCAGTGCATACTGGTTCCTAGTGTAGACTGGTTCCCAGTGCAGATTGGTTCCCAGTGCAGACTGGTTCCCAGTGCATATTGGTTGCCAGTGCAGACTGGTTCCCAGTGTAGACTGGTTCCTAGTGCATATTGGTTCCCAGTGTAGACTGGTTCCCAGTGCATACTGGTTCCCAGTGCATATTGGTTCCCAGTGCAGACTGGTTCCCAGTGCATACTGGTTCCCAGTGCAGACTGGTTCCCAGTGCATACTGGTTCCCAGTGCAGACTGGTTCCCAGTGCAGACTGGTTCCCAGTGCATATTGGTTCCCAGTGCAGACTGGTTCCCAGTGCAAACTGGTTCCAAGTGCATATTGGTTCCCAGTGCATATGGGTTCCCAGTGTAGACTGGTTCCCAGTGCAGACTGGTTCCCAGTGCAGACTGGTTCCATTCCCAGTGCATACTGGTTCCTAGTGCATATTGGTTCCCAGTGCAGACTGGTTCCCAGTGCATATTGGTTCCCAGTGCAGACTAGTTCCCAGTGCATACTGGTTCCCAGTGCATATTGGTTCCCAGTGCAGACTGGTTCCATTCCCAGTGCATACTGGTTCCTAGTGCATATTGGTTCCCAGTGCAGACTGGTTCCCAGTGTAGACTGGTTCCCAGTGCAGATTGGTTCCCAGTGCATATTGGTTCCCAGTGCAGACTGGTTCCCAGTGTAGACTGGTTCCTAGTGCATATTGGTTCCCAGTGCAGACTGGTTCCCAGTGCAGACTGGTTCCCAGTGCATACTGGTTCCCAGTGCATATTGGTTCCCAGTGCATACTGGTTCCAAGTGCATATTGGTTCCCAGTGCAGACTGGTTCCCAGTGCATACTGGTTCCCAGTGCAGACTGGTTCCCAGTGCATACTGGTTCCCAGTGCAGACTGGTTCCCAGTGCATATTGGTTCCCAGTGCAGACTGGTTCCCAGTGCATATGGGTTCCCAGTGCAGACTGGTTCCCAGTGCATACTGGTTCCCAGTGCATATTGGTTCCCAGTGCATACTGGTTCCCAGTGCAGACTGGTTCCCAGTGCATATTGGTTCCCAGTGCATATTGATTCCCAGTGCAGACTGGTTCCCAGTGCATATGGGTTCCCAGTGCAGACTGGTTCCCAGTGCATATGGGTTCCCAGTGCAGACTGGTTCCCAGTGCAGACTGGTTCCCAGTGCATACTGGTTCCCAGTGCAGACAGATTCCCAGTGCAGACTGGTTCCCAGTGCATATTGGTTCCCAGTGCAGACTGGTTCCCAGTGTAAACTGGTTCCCAGTGCAGACTGGTTCCCAGTGCAGACTGGTTCCCAGTGCAGACTGGTTCCAAGTGCATATTGGTTCCCAGTGCATATGGGTTCCCAGTGTAGACTGGTTCCCAGTGCAGACTGGTTCCCAGTGCAGACTGGTTCCCAGTGCAGAGTGGTTCCCAGTGTAGACTGGTTCCCAGTGCATATTGGTTCCCAGTGCAGACTAGTTCCCAGTGCATACTGGTTCCCAGTGCATATTGGTTCCCAGTGCATACTGGTTCCTAGTTCATATTGGTTCCCAGTGCAGACTGGTTCCCAGTGTAGACTGGTTCCCAGTGCATATTGGTTCCCAGTGCAGACTGGTTCCCAGTGCATACTGGTTCCCAGTGCATATTGGTTGCCAGTGCAGACTGGTTCCCAGTGTAGACTGGTTCCCAGTGCATATTGGTTCCCAGTGCAGACTGGTTCCCAGTGCAGACTGGTTCCCAGTGCATACTGGTTCCCATTGCATATTGGTTCCCAGTGCATACTGGTTCCAAGTGCATATTGGTTCCCAGTGCAGACTGGTTCCCAGTGCATACTGGTTCCCAGTGCAGACTGGTTCCCAGTGCATACTGGTTCCCAGTGCAGACTGGTTCCCAGAGCATATTGGTTCCCAGTGCAGACTGGTTCCCAGTGCATATGGGTTCCCAGTGCATACTGGTTCCAAGTGCATATTGGTTCCCAGTGCATACTGGTTCCCAGTGCATATTGGTTCCCAGTGCATATTGGTTCCCAGTGCATACTGGTTCCCAGTGTATATGGGTTCCCAGTGCAGACTGGTTCCCAGTACATATTGGTTCCCAGTGTAGACTGGTTCCCAGTGCATACTGGTTCCCAGTGTAGACTGGTTCCCAGTGCATATTGGTTCCCAGTGCAAACTGGTTGCCAGTGCATATTGGTTCCCAGTGCAGACTGGTTCCCAGTGCATACTGGTTCCCAGTGCATATTGGTTCCCAGTGCATACTGGTTCCAAGTGCATATTGGTTCCCAGTGCATACTGGTTCCCAGTGCATATTGGTTCCAAGTGCAGACTGGTTCCCAGTGCATACTGGTTCCCGGTGCAGACTGGTTCCCAGTGCAGACTGGTTCCCAGTGCATATTGGTTCCCAGTGCAGACTGGTTCCCAGTGCATATGGGTTCCCAGTGCAGACTGGTTCCCAGTGCATACTGGTTCCCAGTGCATATGGGTTCCCAGTGCAGACTGGTTCCCAGTGCATATGGGTTCCCAGTGCATATTGGTTCCCAGTGCATACTGGTTCCAAGTGCATATTGGTTCCCAGTGCATACTGGTTCCCAGTGCATATTGGTTCCAAGTGCAGACTGGTTCCCAGTGCATACTGGTTCCCGGTGCAGACTGGTTCCCAGTGCAGACTGGTTCCCAGTGCATATTGGTTCCCAGTGCAGACTGGTTCCCAGTGCATATGGGTTCCCAGTGCAGACTGGTTCCCAGTGCATACTGGTTCCCAGTGCATATGGGTTCCCAGTGCAGACTGGTTCCCAGTGCATATGGGTTCCCAGTGCAGACTGGTTCCCAGTGCAGACTGGTTCCCAGTGCATACTGGTTCCCAGTGCAGACAGATTCCCAGTGCAGACTGGTTCCTAGTGCATATTGGTTCCCAGTGCAGACTGGTTCCCAGTGTAAACTGGTTCCCAGTGCAGACTGGTTCCCAGTGCAGACTGGTTCCAAGTGCATATTGGTTCCCAGTGCATACTGGTTCCCAGTGCATATTGGTTCCAAGTGCAGACTGGTTCCCAGTGCATACTGGTTCCCGGTGCAGACTGGTTCCCAGTGCAGACTGGTTCCCAGTGCATATTGGTTCCCAGTGCAGACTGGTTCCCAGTGCATATGGGTTCCCAGTGCAGACTGGTTCCCAGTGCATACTGGTTCCCAGTGCATATGGGTTCCCAGTGCAGACTGGTTCCCAGTGCATATGGGTTCCCAGTGCAGACTGGTTCCCAGTGCAGACTGGTTCCCAGTGCATACTGGTTCCCAGTGCAGACAGATTCCCAGTGCAGACTGGTTCCCAGTGCATATTGGTTCCCAGTGCAGACTGGTTCCCAGTGTAAACTGGTTCCCAGTGCAGACTGGTTCCCAGTGCAGACTGGTTCCCAGTGCAGACTGGTTCCAAGTGCATATTGGTTCCCAGTGCATATGGGTTCCCAGTGTAGACTGGTTCCCAGTGCAGACTGGTTCCCAGTGCAGACTGGTTCCCAGTGCAGAGTGGTTCCCAGTGTAGACTGGTTCCCAGTGCATATTGGTTCCCAGTGCAGACTAGTTCCCAGTGCATACTGGTTCCCAGTGCATATTGGTTCCCAGTGCATACTGGTTCCTAGTTCATATTGGTTCCCAGTGCAGACTGGTTCCCAGTGTAGACTGGTTCCCAGTGCATATTGGTTCCCAGTGCAGACTGGTTCCCAGTGCATACTGGTTCCCAGTGCATATTGGTTGCCAGTGCAGACTGGTTCCCAGTGTAGACTGGTTCCCAGTGCATATTGGTTCCCAGTGCAGACTGGTTCCCAGTGCAGACTGGTTCCCAGTGCATACTGGTTCCCATTGCATATTGGTTCCCAGTGCATACTGGTTCCAAGTGCAAATTGGTTCCCAGTGCAGACTGGTTCCCAGTGCATACTGGTTCCCAGTGCAGACTGGTTCCCAGTGCATACTGGTTCCCAGTGCAGACTGGTTCCCAGAGCATATTGGTTCCCAGTGCAGACTGGTTCCCAGTGCATATGGGTTCCCAGTGCATACTGGTTCCAAGTGCATATTGGTTCCCAGTGCATACTGGTTCCCAGTGCATATTGGTTCCCAGTGCATATTGGTTCCCAGTGCATACTGGTTCCCAGTGTATATGGGTTCCCAGTGCAGACTGGTTCCCAGTACATATTGGTTCCCAGTGTAGACTGGTTCCCAGTGCATACTGGTTCCCAGTGTAGACTGGTTCCCAGTGCATATTGCTTCCCAGTGCAAACTGGTTGCCAGTGCATATTGGTTCCCAGTGCAGACTGGTTCCCAGTGCATACTGGTTCCCAGTGCATATTGGTTCCCAGTGCATACTGGTTCCGAGTGCATATTGGTTCCCAGTGCATACTGGTTCCCAGTGCATATTGGTTCCAAGTGCAGACTGGTTCCCAGTGCATACTGGTTCCCGGTGCAGACTGGTTCCCAGTGCAGACTGGTTCCCAGTGCATATTGGTTCCCAGTGCAGACTGGTTCCCAGTGCATATGGGTTCCCAGTGCAGACTGGTTCCCAGTGCATACTGGTTCCCAGTGCATATTGGTTCCCAGTGCATACTGGTTCCAAGTGCATATTGGTTCCCAGTGCATACTGGTTCCCAGTGCAGACTGGTTCCCAGTGCATATTGGTTCCCAGTGCATATTGGTTCCCAGTGCAGACTGGTTCCCAGTGCATACTGGTTCCCAGTGCAGACTGGTTCCCAGTGCATATTGGTTCCCAGTGCATATTGGTTCCCAGTGCAGACTGGTTCCCAGTGCATACTGGTTCCCAGTGCAGACTGGTTCCCAGTGCATATTGGTTCCCAGTGCAGACTGGTTCCCAGTGCATATGGGTTCCCAGTGCAGACTGGTTCTCAGTGCAGACTGGTTCCCAGTGCATATTGGTTCCCAGTGCAGACTGGTTCCCAGTGCATATTGGTTCCCAGTGCAGACTGGTTCCCAGTGCAGACTGGTTCCCAGTGCAGACTGGTTCCCAGTGCAGACTGGTTCCCAGTGCATATTGGTTCCCAGTGCAAACTGGTTCCCAGTGCATATTGGTTCCCAGTGCAGACTGGTTCCCAGTGCAGACTGGTTCCCAGTGCATACTGGTTCCCAGTGCAGACTGGTTCCCAGTGCATATGGGGTTCCCAGTGCAGACTGGTTCTCAGTGCAGACTGGTTCCCAGTGCATATTGGTTCCCAGTGCATACTGGTTCCCAGTGCAGACTGGTTCCCAGTGCATATGGGTTCCCAGTGCATATGGGTTCCCAGTGCAGACTGGTTCCCAGTGCATATTGGTTCCCAGTGCAGACTGGTTCCCAGTGCATATGGGTTCCCAGTGCAGACTGGTTCCCAGTGCATATTGGTTCCCAGTGCATACTGGTTCCCAGTGCAGACTGGTTCCCAGTGCATACTGGTTCCCAGTGCAGACTGGTTCCCAGTGCATATTGGTTCCCAGTGCATATGGGTTCCCAGTGCAGACTGGTTCCCAGTGTAGACTGGTTCCCAGTGCAGACTGGTTCCCAGTGCATATTGGTTCCCAGTGCAGACTGGTTCCCAGTGCATATTGGTTCCCAGTACAGACTGGTTCCCAGTGCATACTGGTTCCCAGTGCATATTGGTTCCCAGTGCATACTGGTTCCCAGTGCAGACTGGTTCCCAGTGCATATTGGTTCCCAGTGCAGACTGGTTCCCAGTGCATATGGGTTCCCAGTGCAGACTGGTTCCCAATGTAGACTGGTTCCCAGTGCAGACTGGTTCCCAGTGCACACTGGTCTCAGGTCTGACTTACCTTGCGGATCATGGCCACAACGTCTTTGTCTTTCTCTCGACAGAGAAACTTCTGGACGCAGAAATCTAGTTTCTGCAGGAGCAGCTTGTCAGCTGGCAGACGGAGAGACGACCGCATCCGTGGCAACAGCAGACAGAGCTTGTACCTGAGAGGACAGGTGAGACATGAGGAGGAGGACAGGTGAGACATGAGGAGGAGGACAGGTGAGACATCAGGAGGAGGACAGGTGAGACATTGGAGCTCTTCAGAGAGGACAGCACAGCCCAACCTGACGTTGGCCACAGGGTCGTGGACGAGTTCCAGCGCTTGGATCAGGAAATGTCTGTTGAAGTATTTTCTGGAGAAAATCTCTGTGGCGATTTCACAAACATCCAGGAACCTCAGGCGGTTCCAGTAGCTGCGGCCTTGAGCCAGATCTGAGGACAGAACAGTCGGTTTGACTGACATGGTCCACCAGACAGCAGCTGGTTCAGGTCAGCCAGGTTTCTGCAGCAGAATCGCTCCGACCTTGGATCAGCCGCTCCATCATCTCCTGACGCTGCTCCTGCTTACGATTGTAGCGCAGGAACGTGCAGAAGGTCCGAGCCGCCTCTTTCTGTACCGGTAGCACTTTCTACAGCCGGGAGGAAGCAGAGCACAGTTACCCGTCTGTCACCTGGCTCACCAGGGGATGATGGACGTTGACGGCGCTGACGTTGGTGGTGAGGATGACGAAGATCCGAGCAGAGAAGGTTTGGTGCAGCAGCTCTCCGGGCAGCAGTCTGGACAGGCAGCTGTAGCGGTGCAGCAGCTTCTCATGCAGCCGCCAACGCAGAGAAGATCCAACTTTCTGTTCGGCCGACAGCAGCGCCGACAGCAGCTCTGGGAGCTGAGGCGAACCACAGACAGGCACCAGAGAGCCACCGGAGGAGAATCCAGCACAAGAGAAGAGGAACCATCCAGGAACAGAGGAGAAATAGTCAGTACCCAGACTGAGGAACCACAGGAAGAACCTGAGGGGAACAAAGGTTCCCTCACCTTGTTGTCCAGGACTAGATTGTCTCCTCTAGAGAGGACCACCTCCAGAGTTTCATCTAGGTGGTTCATCAGCGCATCCAGAACCTCAACAAGCATCAGTTGAAGGACACAAATGTAAAAACAGCAGGTTTGAAATCGAGTCAAAAACATTTCCAACTTACACCAACAGGGGGCAGTTTCAGCGTTTGCTGCTTCCTTGTTGCAGGAAGCTGCATCCATTCTGAAGCTGCTGACCTGATTCACGATAGGCGGACACCGCTGGCATGTGAGATGGACGGTACTCACTACCGTTAGCATGGACAGCCGGGTCGGCTAATGCTAGCCTCTCTGTGCTAATGGCCAGAGGAAGAAGGCGATCCAGTGGATGAGGGATGCTAGTCACCTAGCTTTCCAATGCTAACTCTAGTGAATACTCTCCTCCTCTCTCAGTGGTGGAGGTCTATCAGCAATCAGAGAGTAAAGACTTCTTCTGCATCAGGTTCATGCAGCTCATCTTTGTGTAGACCTCCATGGAGCTCAGCAGGTCTGCATTCCCTTACAGATAACATTCTGAAGAGGTCTGCAGACCAACCAACACTGAGCAGGAGGTATGCTGTGTTACTGCTTGTCACAGCAATAAGGAAAACATTTCAAGCACCAGTTGGATCTAGTGGATCTATTTACTCTGAATTAGGGGAACATGCTTCCTGTGACCTCTCACCTCCAGAGCACTGTCTTGGAGCAGCAACAGGAGCTCCTTGTGGACAACATGGACATTAGACTGGAGCAGCTTCACCACCTGGCAGAAAAGGCAACACTGTGAGACACAGTGACAGGAAACACCGAGCAGACAGGTCCAGGTGGTTCTCACCTGGTGGAAGCTGGCTGCTACACTTCGGCGAACGCTGACCTCTGGGTCGCTGCAAAGACCCGAGAAAGATGGATGGATGTCGCACAGGAAGTGGGCGGGGTCTACGAACGCCACCATGGCCTGGAGAGAGAAAAGAGGAACGGTGTTTGAACTTCTAAAGAGTCTAGAGGTTCTGCAACTGAGGATCCCAGATGAGCCCAGCGGGCCTGAAATGCTGCAGGTCCAACCAGACTGAAGGTTCTGGGACTGATAACGTACCAAAGGACCTGATCTAAGTCTGTTTTCCTCCTGAAAAACCAAACTGGTTTGAGATTTGGAGGACCAGAGGTCAAAGGCCAGTTAGCACTCACACCCCCAAACAAGCCGGGCTTTGACTAGGCAGATGGACTGGAGTTGGGTCAAAGCGGACTGGACAGGGCTGGTGTGCAGGACAGAGCCGTGGGAGTCAGTGAGTTTTTCAGTACCGGTAGGTTGTAGCAGCAGTTACAGCGGATCAGTGTGGACTCGCCAACATCCATCTGGTTTTCTTCAGTCTGCAGTCCAGTGATACACATGACCTGGAACTTCTGCAGCAGGAGCCTCTTCTGCTCTTCTGACAGTGAACCTGAAGGACAGAAAGCATCATCACACCTGGACAAACCCACCTTCAGGGACGCTCTCGCCTATCGTCCCAGATCTGTCCTCTGGGCTCACGTTTGTTAAACTCAGAAGGATTTAGAAGGTTCTGTTGTAACTGTGCGGTCTAACCTGCCAGTCCGCTGCAGAGCTTCCCAAACTGGAACGACAGCGACACCACGATGCCTCCATCCACCTGTGATGAAACGTCACACGCTGACATCACCAGAGGAACCAGGAGGTGAAGTCGGTCATCTAACAAAGAGGAGGGGTTTTAAACAAGGTGCTGATGGAGAGTGGGGGTTCTGGTTTGGTCCAGACTCACCTCCGTCCATCATCTCCATCAGACTGATGATGCTGTCAAAGGCGGCCAGCCGAACGCCACTCTCCTCGTCGCCGGCGAGCTCCAGCAGCTCAGGGAGGAGCTCGGTTCTGGTGTCATCCACCCTGAGGGACACATGCTGGGTCAGTGGGGCAGAACCTGGCCGGGTCCACTGTGCTGACTTTCTGCCTACCCGATGGCTCTGGCCATGCTCTCCAGCTGACGGCACATGCAGACTCGGACCTCGGACTCCGTGTCCCGGCTCAGAGAACGGGCCAAAGGCAGCAGCTCCTTCTTCACTCTAATGAACAGAACCTCAGTCAGCAGGAGAGACAAACGGCTTCGGACCGCCTCTGCTGCGCGTCGCTTACATGAGAGAGTCAAACTTGCAGGAAGCCTTTCCCAGGATGCGACAGGCGGCCAGGCGAGCCTGAAGGGAGTGAGACAGCGGACTCTGGTAGAGGAGAGGGTTCAGCACCTGGGAACACAGAACCACCAAGGTCCGGATCACAAAACTACAGATTCTCAATCTTACTTTGACTTTTCACATCAGTGCACTCCCACTCCTACAGTTCAGACTGAAACGCTTCCCAGAACCAGACCATGGGTCTTCACATCCAGGCCTGGACCTTCAGATGGAGGTGGACCAGAGGCACACCTGGACATGCGGGACCCGCCCTGGGCGCCGCGCCGGACCCGCCCTGGGCGCCATGCCGGACCCGCCCTGGGCGACCCGCCGGACCCGCCCTGGGCTCCCGCGCCGGGACCCCGCCCTGGGCGACCGCCGGACCCGCCCTGGCGCTGCGCCGGACCCCCCGCGCCCTGAGATGAGACCGCTGAGCTGCACTGTTCATCACTCGGTGTGCTTAGTGCTAGAAACCCTTCCAGCTGAGGCAGAGGGAACAGACGCATTAAGGAGGGAAAAACTCGACATGGAAAACGAGGACTGGATGGAATTTTGTCCCTTTGATATTCAAGCTTTTTCAGCCAGGTGAAGTTGGAAAGAGCAAGATTCACACATCAAATAACCCTAGAAAGTTCTGCAAGCTGCCATTCCGCTGCAGAGATTCATATCATTGTTAAAATTCTTCCCTTTAATAATGGGATCAAAAGGTGGAACCAGAACCTGGCCCGGTTCACCTGAGCATTGGTCAGGAACCACTGACCTCCTGTTTGATGGTCTCTTTGGGCAGAGCGTTGATGGCCGACAGCAGAGTCTCCAACCAGGCGCTGCTCACCACTAACAGACAGAAACCAGGTGAGTCAGCAGGTCTGATTGTTTCACAAAACGTCTGAGTCGTCACCAATCTGCTGGTGGCTCTGATTAAAAGGCTCTTTTCATTTCAACCTGAAGAGCATTTCAGGTCTCAGGTGAGGTTACCTGTGTCGCGGTGGTTGAGGTGGAGCAGCACCGTCTTCAGGATGGAGTAGGTGTGTGTGGATCAGGATGATGTCGTCCTGCAGGATGGTTAAAAAGGAAGTCGCTGCTGCCAGCTGGATTTCAGCACCGGCTCCATTCAAGACCTCCTGGCTCACACAGGTGGGACAGGTGAGCTGCAGTGAAACCTTTCTTGAAGTCAAGTGATTGTCCTGTCCTCAGATTGTACATACCCGAACTTTTGGTACAACTCGACGGAAAGTCTCAGCTGGGTTCTGGCGGACAAGACTCGGCAGGTTGCTGATGACGCTGGATCTCTGGACCTCCTGACCCACGCTGAGGAAAGGAGAAGGCAGTTCAAAACCACCTGAATGGAAAAACCTGGAGCTACTTTGAGCACATCTGCTTCTGTAATGCCCAGTGAGTTCTGTTGGGGAATCAGTTGAGTGAACTAGATCAGATCTTCTGGGAGAGAAGTGGTGATTATCTCCAGAGTTTAGTGGGTTGAAGAAGAAGGACGGGAAGAGGGCATCAGAAATCTGACAGCTGGAGGCCAGAATGCATCCCAGAAACTCTGATCCAGAACCACATCAAGCAGCCTGTTCCCCTCCTGGCCTGTGGGGCGCTGCACCAACAACCACTGGAGGAAACGACACTAAAACCTCTGAAGCACTGAGAGCAACTTCCTGTTTCACCAGATGAAACAAGATGGAGGCGTCAGAGTTTAGTGATTTCTCTTTAGTCTTTGGCTGAAGACCCAGGAGCCATTTCTGCTGCTAGCGCTAGGCTAGCATGTTAGCTTTGGTTCCTCTGTCCAGCGCTCAGAGGCTGAGAGTGGGAAGGCCAGTGCAGGTCTTCAGCCCGTCACAGAGATGCTTCCTACAGCTCGGTGTGTCTGCTTCAGAACACTAAAACAGCTGTTCATCATAACCAGTTCATCAGCATGACTGGAGAACCTGCCTGCTGCTGAGGAGCTGATCCAGGTGTGTTGGACCAGGATCACACCTACAGGTAGCAGGACCCTGGAGGCCTGCAGCTCAGGATCATTGCTAGCTTTGCTGCAGCCATGCTGTTGTACTGTGGACTGTAAATTCTTAGATCCTATTCAGTACATCACCTGCTTCACATCAGGATAATAATGACCTGGCTCTGACCACACCCACCCACCGGGTGACCTCACCTGAGCAGGTAAACGGCTCTCTCCACGTCATTCAGGTCTTCATCCACAGTCAGCTGATCGATCTCCTCGGCCGTCTGAAAGAAGACAGATGGATCATCTCTGAGGCTCCGCCCCATCACACTGATGCCACGCCCACTCATGATAAAGCCACGCCCACATCATCATATTCAGAAGAGGAAACTTTGACTTCTGTTCAGCTATTGATTACTTATTAATCAGGTGGTGATCAGATCACCTGCAGAAGTAGTACGGTTCAACAAGTTTCACTGTACTGGTCCACATGTCCTGATATGGACCCTAAATTGACCCTACATGGATATGAGGAAGCTGAACCGTCAACTTGTTACAATGTTGATTGTTTTTGAGTTTTATCGTTTTGTCTTTTAATGTTTTTTATTCAAAACTTTGCAGCATTTGTCCAAAATAAATGTCCCTGTGGGACATTGAAGTCCAGATTCTCATTTCTCCTTCGTGTTCCTTCATATTTTCATTCTTCTCCTTGGATTTAAGCTTCATGTGTTCTAGTTTTTAAATCCTCATTTTGTCATCATGTTGTCATCATTTTGTCATAATTTTGTCATGTCATAATTTTGTCATCATGTCTTCATTTTGTCATGTTGTCATCATTGTGTCATAATTTTGTCATGTTGTCATCATTTTGTCATAATTTTGTCATGTTGTCATCATTTTGTCATGTTGTCATCATTTTGTCATAATTTTGTCATGTCATAATTTTGTCATCATGTCTTCATTTTGTCATTGTCATCATTGTGTCATAATTTTGTCATGTTGTCATCATTTTGTCATAATTTTGTCATGTTGTCATCATTTTGTCATGTTGTCATCATTTTGTCATGTTGTCATCATTTTGTCATGTTGTCATCATTTTGTCATGTTGTCATCATTTTGTCATCATTTTGTCATGTCATCATTTTGTCATGTTGTCATCATTTTGTCATGTTGTCATCATTTTGTCATCATATTGTCATGTTGTCATCATTTTGTCATAATTTGTCATGTCATCATTTTGTCATGTTATCATTTTGTCATGTTGTCATCATTTTGTCATAATTTTGTCATGTTGTCATCATTTTCATGTTGTCATAATTTTGTCATCATTTTGTCATCATGTTGTCATCATTTTGTCATAATTTTGTCATGTTGTCATCATTTTGTCATGTTGTCATCATTTTGTCATGTTGTCATTTTGTCATCATGTTGTCATGTTGTCATCATTTTGTCATAATTTTGTCATGTTGTCATCATTTTGTCATGTCATAATTTTGTCATCATATGGTCATGTTGTCATCATTTTGTCATAATTTTGTCATGTCATCATTTTGTCATGTTATCATTTTGTCATGTTGTCATCATTTTGTCATGTTGTCATCATTTTGTCATGTTTTCATCATTTTGTCATCATTTTGTCATGTTGTCATCATTTTGTCATCATGTTTGTCATTGTCATCATTTTGTCATAATTTTGTCATGTTGTCATCATTTTGTCATGTTGTCATTTTGTCATCATGTTGTCATGTTGTCATCATTTTGTCATAATTTTTGTCATGTTGTCATCATTTTGTCATGTTGTCATAATTTTGTCATCATATTGTCATGTTGTCATCATTTTGTCATAATTTTGTCATGTCATCATTTTGTCATGTTATCATTTTGTCATGTTGTCATCATTTTGTCATAATTTTGTCATGTTGTCATCATTTTGTCATGTTGTCATAATTTTGTCATCATTTTGTCATGTTGTCATCATTTTGTCATCATGTTGTCATGTTGTCATCATTTTGTCATCATGTTGTCATGTTGTCATCATTTTGTCATGTTGTCATCATTTTGTCATGTTGTCATTTTGTCATCATGTTGTCATGTTGTCATCATTTTGTCATAATTTTTGTCATGTTGTCATCATTTTGTCATGTTGTCATAATTTTGTCATCATATTGTCATGTTGTCATCATTTTGTCATGTTGTCATAATTTTGTCATCATATTGTCATGTTGTCATCATTTTGTCATAATTTTGTCATGTCATCATTTTGTCATGTTATCATTTTGTCATGTTGTCATCATTTTGTCATGTTGTCATCATTTTGTCATGTTGTCATCATTTTGTCATGTTGTCATTTTGTCATCATGTTGTCATGTTGTCATCATTTTGTCATAATTTTTGTCATGTTGTCATCATTTTGTCATGTTGTCATAATTTGTCATCATATTGTCATGTTGTCATCATATTGTCATGTTGTCATAATTTTGTCATCATATTGTCATGTTGTCATCATTTTGTCATAATTTTGTCATGTCATCATTTTGTCATGTTATCATTTTGTCATGTTGTCATCATTTTGTCATAATTTTGTCATGTTGTCATCATTTTGTCATGTTGTCATAATTTTGTCATGTTGTCATCATTTTGTCATCATGTTGTCATCATTTTGTCATAATTTTGTCATGTTGTCATCATTTTGTCATGTTGTCATCATGTTGTCATTTTGTCATCATGTTGTCATGTTGTCATCATTTTATCATAATTTTGTCATGTTGTCATCATTTTGTCATGTTGTCATCATTTTGTCATGTCATAATTTTGTCATCATATTGTCATGTTGTCATCATTTTGTCATAATTTTGTCATGTCATCATTTTGTCATGTCATCATTTTGTCATGTTATCATTTTGTCATGTTGTCATCATTTTGTCATAATTTTGTCATGTTGTCATCATTTTGTCATGTTGTCATCATTTTGTCATCATTTTGTCATGTTGTCATCATTTTGTCATAATTTTTGTCATGTTGTCATCATTTTGTCATGTTGTCATAATTTTGTCATCATATTGTCATGTTGTCATCATTTTGTCATGTTGTCATAATTTTGTCATCATATTGTCATGTTGTCATCATTTTGTCATAATTTTGTCATGTCATCATTTTGTCATGTTATCATTTTGTCATGTTGTCATCATTTTGTCATAATTTTGTCATGTTGTCATCATTTTGTCATGTTGTCATAATTTTGTCATCATTTTGTCATGTTGTCATCATTTTGTCATCATATTGTCATGTTGTCATCATTTTGTCATAATTTTGTCATGTCATCATTTTGTCATGTTATCATTTTGTCATGTTGTCATCATTTTGTCATAATTTTGTCATGTTGTCATCATTTTGTCATGTTGTCATAATTTTGTCATGTTGTCATCATTTTGTCATAATTTTGTCATGTTGTCATCATTTTGTCATAATTTTGTCATGTTGTCATCATTTGTCATGTTGTCATCATGTTGTCATTTTGTCATCATGTTGTCATGTTGTCATCATTTTATCATAATTTTGTCATGTTGTCATCATTTTGTCATGTTGTCATCATTTTGTCATGTCATAATTTTGTCATCATATTGTCATGTTGTCATCATTTTGTCATAATTTTGTCATGTCATCATTTTGTCATGTTATCATTTTGTCATGTTGTCATCATTTTGTCATAATTTTGTCATGTTGTCATCATTTTGTCATGTTGTCATAATTTTGTCATCATTTTGTCATGTTGTCATCATTTTGTCATAATTTTTGTCATGTTGTCATCATTTTGTCATGTTGTCATAATTTTGTCATCATATTGTCATGTTGTCATCATTTTGTCATGTTGTCATTATTTTGTCATCATATTGTCATGTTGTCATCATTTTGTCATAATTTTGTCATGTCATCATTTTGTCATGTTATCATTTTGTCATGTTGTCATCATTTTGTCATAATTTTGTCATGTCATCATTTTGTCATGTTGTCATAATTTTGTCATCATTTTGTCATGTTGTCATCATTTTGTCATCATGTTGTCATGTTGTCATCATTTTGTCATAATTTTGTCATGTTGTCATCATTTTGTCATGTTGTCATCATTTTGTCATGTTGTCATTTTGTCATCATGTTGTCATGTTGTCATCATTTGTCATAATTTTTGTCATGTTGTCATCATTTTGTCATGTTGTCATAATTTTGTCATCATATTGTCATGTTGTCATCATGCTGCCGGGGGAGAACCCGCTGCAGCTGCCGCTAAGGCAGGGGAACCAGGGGTAGTGGAGGAGGTGTTGGTGAAAACTATTGTTGAGGAGCCAGTAGAAGATGGTAGTAGGAGTGTGGGAGAAGATGAGGGCACGGTGGTGATGGGATGATCGGTGGTGTAGGTGAGAGTGTAGAGGGGAGAGAGGAGAGGTGCAGGGAGAGCAGGAGGAGGTGAGGAGTGATGAGGCATTTAGTGTGTGGAGATAAGAGGGAGAGAGGAGAGGTGCAGGAAAATGGACAGTTTAAAGGAAAAAATGGTGAAAAGTTGTTTATAGGAGATGGAGCTGGAGGTTTGTACCCCAGCAAAGAGGCGCAGTAAAGGAAGAATGTGGTGGCTGCTGTGGAGGCCAGTAATCTGGCTGTGGAGAAGAAAACTGTTTTTCTGACACCAGTGAGGCCTCTGTGTCTCAAGTACATAAAGAACCGAGATACCCCACAGAAACATTTAGAACTTTTTTACAACAAACCAAAGGATTAAGGGATAAAACTCGAGAGTCATTTTCCAGATTTAAGAATATTTTATTTCTCTGCAAGGCACTATATTAGACACAAAGAGGTATCAGGTTTTACAGACACAGAAGTTTTTAGATTAAAGAAAATAATGACCAAAGCAAGAAAACAATTTTAATGATGCAAAGTAGCTTTTTAATATTTCTTATTGGTTTTTGGTATGCTGCTTTTAGCCTTTTATCCATTATGGATTCTTTTAAGATGGCGTCTTTGAATCTTAACGGGGCGAGGGTGTTAGGATTTTAGTTGGTGTGAGTGTTCTTGCAATAGACGATCTTCGTGGGAGCGCACCTGAAGCGGATCTCCTACAATGGGCGGCAGGATTTTTGAGGAGCGGTGGTGCAGCCAGACGTCGCTTGATGGTCCCACTTGTTGGTCAGTCAAATCTAATGTCTTGTTAAGTCTCAGGTCCACAGAAGATCTAAATAAGCTGTGTGTGTTCTCCCACAGATTGATGACGTCTCGTTGGGATTCTGCCAGGAACTGCACCTGTCCTACTGCCAAGCAGACCACAGATTGACCGGAAACATCTGCCTGCTGCCTCGGCACCTAAAACCTCGCCGGACCTCCACACCTACAACTCCTTCCACCTCCCTCAGCAACTCTCCTTCCCCGACGAACTGTAAGCCTTCTCGCTCCCTCCTCTGCCACGATCCCGCCGTCCTCTCCTCTCTAAACCTCTCCCCTCTCCGAGCAGCACCGAGCCGACCCTCTGTTTTCCAGCTCAGAGGACAACCCGGACTCACCATCCTTACAAAACATCTGTAAAATAAATCTTTTGAACTTTAATCCTCATGGCTTGTTGTTTGAAGCCTGCATGTGGGTGAAAAAACCCAAATCCAACATGACAGCGGGAGGCTGAAAAACGTGCTGTAGTCGACCAAATGTTAAATCGAAAAAGAATTGATGTTATTTACTTACAGGAAACGCACAGCGATTGTTTGATGGAAACGGACTGGGGCAGAGAGTGGAGGGTGGGCTTTCTTTCTTCTAAACTTTTACCGTTCTCTTTCTATGGAAGTCCAACATGTTATACCAGGGAGGTGTCTTTTAGCCAGAACAAAGTTCGATTTTTTAAACATGGTTTTTATTAACATCTATGCTCCAATCGCCAATGCAGAGCAGAAACGTTTTTATAAAAAAATTGGGGAAAGGTTGGGTGATTGCGGGTCTTAAATTACGTTTTTATAGGTGGAGATTTTAATTGTACAGAAAACGAGTTTTTAGATCGTAATCATGCAGAGCCGCATCCGATGGCCCAACGCGTGTTGAGCAGCTGGTTGCGTCTCGCAGCCTGGTGGATGTATGGAGGAGGACGCATGCAGGCTCCATGCAGTTTACATGGTCCCACGTTAAGTAAAATCTCTTTGGCTCGTTTAGATGGTTTTTATTGTTTTAAGCATCATTTTAATGTGTTTAAAACATGCCAGATTTTACCTGTGGCCTTCACAGATCATTCATTACTTTTAGGGAGTGTTTTTATTACATTTTACCTAGAAGCGCGTATTGGCATTTTAATTCTGCATTAACCTACGATCAGAGTTTTAAAGAGGTTTTAACTTATTTTTGGACCGGTTTTAGAGAAACGAAGGCTGATTTGAGCTCTATTAGACAGTGGTGGGACTATGGGAAGGTCCAAATTAAACTGCTGAGTCAGCAGCACACTGGCAATGTTACTCATTGACTTGGTGACACCACAGGAAATAAAGAGTATTTTGAAGCTCTCAAATCTAAAAGGCTAACTTTAGCAAACCTGCTGGAGAGTAAAGTTCAAGGCATGTTGGTCAGGTCCCGGATGCAGGACATCACAGAGATGGATGCTCCCTCTGGCTTTTTCTTTGGCCTAGAGAGGAAACAGGGTCAGAGGAAGATGATCCACTCCCTGTGTCGGACACGGGGCAGAATCTGAGCGAACCGGGCAGATAAGGAGGAGGGCTGTGGAGTTTTATCGTTCTCTGTTCCAGAGGGAATATAAAGACAATAAGAGAATGATGGAGGAGTTCAGCGAAGAACTACCTCAGGTCTCTACGAAGATCAATACTGATCTGGAGCGCCCGCTGGGCATACAGGAGCTCCACACAGCCCTCCAGAGCATGCAGGGCCAGAAGTCCCCGGGTGTTGATGGGCTCACAGTGGAGTCTTTCAAGGCCTACTGGGACCTTCTGGCCCAGGACATGCTCGAAGTGTACAACGAGAATCTGGCTACCGGTTCGCTCCCCTTATCCTGTCGCAGGGCGGTCATCACCCTGCTGCCCAAGAAGGGCAACCTACAGGAGATCAGGAACTGGCGCCCCGAGTCCCTCCTCTGTACGGACTATAAAATCCTCTCAAAGGCCCGGGCCACGAGATTAGGACAAGCCATGGAGCAGGTCATCCACCGGGACCAGACCTACTGCGTCCCCAGCAGGTCCATGGTGGACAATGTCCACCTAATTTGGGACATTTTGGAAGTCTCCAGTTCATTGGGTTTACAGACGGGCTTGATTGCATTAGATCAAGAAAAGGCTTTTGACTGCGTTGAACACGACTTCCTCTGGAAAGTAATGAGGAGGTTCGGGTTCAGCGAGGGTCTTATCGCCAAGATCCAGGTGTTGTACGGTGACATTGAGAGTGTGTTGAAGGACAACGGTAGCCTGTTTGCTCCTTTTAGGGTGTTGAGGCGTCCGACAAGGCTGCGCGCTCTCGGGGATGCTCTATGCTCTCTCCCTGGAACCCCTTCTCCTGAAAATACGCTCAGAACTTCATGGTCTGGTTTTACCTGGTTTTAACAACAAGTTGGTTTTATCTGCCTATGCTGACGATGTTGTTGTTTTTATTAAAAATCAGCAGGATGTCAGCATTTTAACCGAGATAATAGAAAAATTCTCCGTCTTGTCTGCCGTGAGGGTGAACTGGGGAAAGAGCAAAGCCCTGACCGTAGGAGTGGGCCGGTGGGCGAGTGGGCCGGTGGGCGAGTGGGCCGGTGGGCGAGAGGGCCGGTGGGCGAGAGGGCCGGTGGGCTGGTGGGCGAGTAGGCCGGTGGCGAGTGTGCCGTGGGCGAGTGGGCCGGTGGGCGAGAGGGCCGGTGGGTGAGTGGGCCGGTGGGCGAGTGGGCTGGTGGGCGAGTGGGCCGGTGGGCGAGTGGGCCGGTGGGCGAAAGGGCCGGTGGGCGAGTGGGCTGGTGGGCGAGTGGGCCGGTGGGCGAGTGGGCGAGTGGGCCGGTGGGCGAGTGGCCGGTGGGCGAGTGGGGGAGTGGGCCGGTGGGCGAGTGGGCCGGTGGGCCGGTGGGCGAGTGGGCGAGTGGGCCGGTGGGCGAGTGGGCCGGTGGGCGAGTGGGCCGGTGGGCGAGTGGGCCGGTGGGCTGGTGGGCGAGTGGGCGAGTGGGCCGGTGGGCGAGTGGGCCGGTGGGCGAGTGGGCCGGTGGGCGAGTGGGCCGGTGGGCGAGTGGCCGGTGGGCGAGTGGGCCGGTGGGCGAGTGGGCCGGTGGGCGAGTGGGCCGGTGGGCGAGTGGGCCGGTGGGCGAGTGGGCCGGTGGGCGAGTGGGCCGGTGGGCCGGTGGGCGAGTGGACCGGTGGGCGAGTGGGCCGGTGGGCGAGTGGGCCGGTGGGCGAGTGGGCCGGTGGGCGAGTGGGGCCGGTGGGCGAGTGGGCCGGTGGGCGAGTGGCCGGTGGCGAGTGGGCCGGTGGGCCGGTGGGCGAGTGGACCGGTGGGCGAGTGGGCCGGTGGGCGAGTGGGCCGGTGGGCGAGTGGGCCGGTGGGCGAGTGGGCGAGTGGGCCGGTTGGCGAGTGGGCCGGTGGGCGAGTGGGCCGGTGGGCGAGTGGGCCGGTGGGCGAGTGGCTGGTGGGCGAGTGGGCCGGTGGGCTAAAAGTTCTCCCTCAAGGACTTCTGTGGAAGAGAGACGGTTTTAAATATCTTGGTGTTTTTTAGGTGGAAAGGATATTGTGAAAAGAAACTGGGAAGATGTGGAACAAAAAATACAGAACAAACTAGCAAAATGGAAATGGTTGCATAATAAAGTGTCCTATCGAGGAAGAGTGCTGGTCCTGAATAATCTGGTTGTGTCACAACTGTGGCACATGCTCGCTGTATTAGACCCACCATCAGGACTGCTGGTAAAATAGAGTCAGAGATGGTCAACTTCTTCTGGAACAACCATCACTGGGTGCCGCAGTCCGTTTTGTTTTTATCCAGAGAGGAGGGGGGCCGGGGCCTTGTCCACCTGGCCAGTAGAGCCGCTGTATTCCGGTTACAGTTTCTGCAAAAGTATTTAACGGGATCCCCCGTGCGGAGGGATGTGGCCAGCTGCATTCTGAGACGGGTTCATTTTCTAGGGCTGGATGCTGCTCTGTTAACAAATTTTAGCCTTTTAAAGTTAAAGGGAATTCCTCAATTTTATCAAGGCGTTTTTAAAACGTGCGTTTTTTAAATTGCACAGATCAGATCAGAATAACTCTCTGCATTGGCTTTTAGAAGAACCATTGATCTGTGGAGCAAGACTGGATGTCAGCGATAACGCCGTTCCGGGCCTTTCTGAGGTGTTGTCTGGGTCCGGAACGGTGACTCTACAGCAACTGATCCGGGTGTCCGGACCGGACTTTGATAACGGCCTGGAGGTTGCCTTGGCTATTGGAGTCCGGTCCGTCAGACTGACGAGGCGTTCTTGGAGAGGGTGAAAAACCGATTGACCGCTGAGGAGAGGAGGCTCCTACATTTGCACGCGAAGGAGGAGTGCCTGCCGGACTCCACTGACCCGTTCCCAGAAGTGTTCCTGGACCCGGATTTTGAGGAGGACAGCGGTCCCCTCCTGCAGAGCACAGACTGGAGGATGGACCTGTATAAAACAGGTCCAAAAATACTGTCCAGATACTGTACAAAACTCTTAAACAAAAGGACCCTCCAAAACAGAGACGTGAGTGTGTGGGACAGCAAGTTCGGAGGACAGAGAACTCACTGGAGAACTTTATACAGGCCTCTGATCAAGAAAAGGACTGGTGACCTCCAGTGGAGGATCCTTCACGGAGCCATTGCCACCAATTCCTTTTTATCTGTCATCAGTCCTGGGGTTTTAAACCAGTGTCCTTTTTGCAAGATGTCCGAGTGTTTTTCATGTTTTTAGATTGTGCACGGCTAACTAGTTTTTTAAATCTTTTATCAAATTTTTTAAAGATTTTTTTATACTATGGTTTTTCTAACGCTGTCTTTATCAATGGTGTACATCACAGTAAAACCACTAGTTTTAAATCCCGGATTTGAAATTATTTAATTTCCGAAGCGAAAATGGCTCTTTATATCAGTCGACGGGACAGAATGCAGGCTGGACCTCAACGTGACGCTGCGGCTCTGTGGAAGGTCAACGTCAAAGCCAGGTTGAGGTTGGAGTTTTGCGAGCCGCTGGGAATTTGTCGGGTTTTTTAAACTTGTGGGGTTTTCAAAATGTACTGAGCTCCATTTCAGACCAGAAGGTGTTAATTTATAACAAATTATTATTGTAAATATGTCTATTTATTTCTGTATTTATTAGTGCCTGGACTTAAGGAAATAATGTAACAATTAGGTTTATTGTACAATAAACGTTTTGTTAAAAATCAAAACAAATCTTCTGTGAATTTGAACTGAATTGTGTTTTTTACGGATCGGGTCTGAACTCTTGTCTGTGTTTGGTTTGGTGGATCGATCAGTGATTGATTGATTGGTTCTGCAGCTGTCCTGGTTCTGCTGACTCAGTGCAGAGCGGAGATCCTGGAGTCGGTCTGTCCATCCGGGTCTCTGCGCTGCCGGCGGACAGACCGACAAACTGCGTCACTCTGCGCACATCGCGGGTTTCCCTCCGCTTCCTGCCGCTTCACCCACATGTTTCCCCCCCAACCACCACCTTCATCATCATCATCATCATCATCATCACCATCGTCCCCGCTGCGCGGCTCGGGGTCCTCCTACCTTCAGGCTCCTGCGGATCGGCCGCTCGATGAAGGCCAGCTCCTGCAGCTCCTGCAGCTCCTGCAGCTCCTGCAGCTCCTCCGGCGGCCCGCTGGGCGGTCCGGGCGGGCTCAGAGTCATCCTGCCGGGGAACATCTGCTCACTGGAACCGGCCCAGTCGCTCTCTGGTTGTTACTGGGAGAGCGGGCGGCGGAGCTCAGCACCATCCATCCCTGGCGAGAGGATGGGG